ACTGAGTAGAACCTATGATGTTCTGTAACCAAGATGGATGGATAGCTTCCTCACATGAAAGAGAATCCAAAGTCCCTGGTGTAGGATTCAAACCCACAGCTGTGAAAAATTCACAAAAGACAAACGTCAAAACCTATTTCAGAAGTGGATATTGTATCAGATTATACTAACCGTTGGTATGGTATCTGAGCACATAAATGTCCTGATACATGAGAGAGTGACAGGCATATACATTGTAAATATGATCATGGCAACCAGTCTACGTACAGTAGTCCTTCTCTCCCAGCGTCCTACACTCACTTCGGAACCTTTAGAAACATTGCGGGTATTAGACTCCTTCTGAAATATAGATAGCTAGATTTAGTTTTCCGCTAAACCAGTGAACCAAAAGTAGTGCACTTAAAATATAACATATTTAACTATACATCAATACTGTAGCATTTATTCTGTTTCAGATTGTAAAGATTACACTATTTAAGGCATTTTATGGTAAAAGGTTTATTCATAGTTGTCTCCCTTGTATTGAACAAATCTTATTCAAAATAATATATCCTGTCAAGTGTATAGGTATGTGGCAACACAATAAAGAATTCAACTGAATTACAAGTTACATATGACATAATTTAAATGTTACAGAATTTGTATTTGTCAATATAAATGTTCATGTTTTGCCAAGACATATTTAAGACAAATTCTACTGAACAGTTTTAATTCTGCCTAAATGTCTCTATGTAAACTCCCGAAACTTATTGTAAGCAATTTGTTTCACTATTCAAATAAGGGGTTTCATGTGCCTTTGTCACACATGTGCTAAAGATAACTATTAGGCAGAGTTAAAGACACAAGTTCCTCCGATTGGCTGACAAAACAGAAGTTTCTCCGATTGGCTGAAAGTTTTTGTTTGTTTTTGTTTGTTTCATTTTATGCCTTTTCCCAACAGTATTTCAGTCATATAGGCGGGTAGTTTCCTAACCATCATTCCTGGAGAAGTACACCAGTACAAGACTACCTTCCTCCGCGCTAAACTACTAAAGCATCTCCCGGGAATCGAACCCATGCCAGAGAGGTAACTGGATTAGAAGTCATCGACTCTAACCCCTCGACCACGGAGGCGGTTGATTTGCTGACAGAAAACAGACAATTTTTAAAAGTAGCTAATTATCACAAAAGCATATAATATTATGTAAAATAAAATCAGCCAAATTTATGTGTAGTCATAAGTTTTAATACAAATGTATAGAAAATTTAAGTTACTGGTTTAAAAAAAAAAAAAAAAAAAAAGCTGAAAATGAACATAAATCTCTACAATACCCAATTTTTTAACCATGGGAGGCGACTGCATAACAATCTATCATTTAATCAGAAGATTGTTTCTGGTATACAAAGATTTTTAAACAAAGGCACCTAATACAATTTTGTTGAAAATAATCATTGCAGATAGTTCTTACATCAGCTGCCCTTACAGACTGGAATATCTAGCTCGAGGGTATCTATTACGACTGTAACAAGGCTTTGTCAAGTTAAGCTAAACAGTTGCCCCATGAGCTAGAATTATTCCTGTCTGTGACGACAGCCGATGTTTTTCTTACATGTTACAAATAAATGATTTCTAGAAAGACACTACAAAAACTTTTCATTCAGCACTTTTTTCTTATAGTTGCATATTAATTTACAACTTCATTCATAATGGCAAAATGTTGTGATCCAAAAGACGCAATTCATTCATAACAGGGGAGTGGGAATGATGTCATTTAAAACATGAGACATGTCTTACATGGGGGGGGGGGGGGGGGGGAGGAGGGGTGTACGACAGGTTTTTCTAGCACTGGTGTAAGCAGTAGATAATCCTCTCTGATATGCAAGAGCATATTTCATCTTATTGCATATTTCTTATCAAAAAGAAATGATTTACTTTAAGAGGTATTTACAATATATTCATGAAACTAATTAATTCAAGTTAGATATTAAAAGTCATAATACTATAGTAATGAATGAAGTAAAAGTTTATGTGGAAATCTTACCAAGCCTTTATCCATAAACTTGCCAAGTATAAGAACAACAACTGGAATACCCAGAGATATCAACCACTCTATGTAGTATATACTCAATGTAGGCCAACTTTCAAACAAACATTCTGTAAAATAAATAATCTTTTATTATCAATATATATTATGACCTTCTAACACAGGATTTCAATTTATTTGTACAACTCATGAATATTTTGTACCCATATATGCTTAACTCTACCAAACCTCAAAATTAATTTCCCTGCATCAACAAATAAATTAGTCTATCTAGAGCATATTAATTTGTCCTGTCTGCCTGTATGCAGAAAGCTAATAATACCTCTGGAAGCTTTACTTTGCCATTTGAAATATGACCCTGACCCCTGAATTACCTAGACTTTCAAGGTAAAAGTTTCAAAATTTAGGATATTTTAACAGAATAATATCATTATAACATAATTGGTCCTTGCATGGCCTGAGGGGAATTTATGTTTTGCATTCAGTATGTTGCAATATCTTACCGTTATATTATAGTTGCAGGCTTACATTATACATTAAAAAATGACTTTAAAACTTTTGAAGGTACCATTTATTTTCAACAAGAGCGATCAGTGATCACATGTGTCGCCTCATGATGGCCAATTTCATGTTGAGACAAGTTTTGTGACAGACGGACAGACAGACGGACAGTGCACAACTAGACTTGGTACTGATCATTCCTGTAAAGTTTGGATAAAATTGCACCAGTAGTTTATGAGGAGTAATCCGGACCTGGCAACACATAGAAAAAACACACTTTTTTATCAAAGGGCCATAACTCAGCCAAAAATCATTCAACCGGAAAACCCATACAATATGCGCAAGGACTTGAGATACAGATCAATCCTGTAAAATTTCATTGAAATTGCATTAGTGGTATAAGAGAAGTAGTCCGGACAAACTTTAAAAATAAAAATTATTAAAGGGCCATAACTCTGACAAAAATCATTGAACCAAAAAATGCTGACAATATGCACAACTAGACTTAGTACTGATCATTCCTGTAAAGTTTGGATGAAATTGCACCAGTAGTTTATGAGGAGTAGTCCGGACAAGCTTTTGTGTATCTGGCAACACACAGAAAAAACACCTTTTTATCAAAGGGCCATAACTCGGCCAAAAATCATTCAACCGGAAAACCCGTGCAATATGCGCAAGGACTTGAGCTACAGATCAATCCTGTAAAGTTTCATTGAAATTGCATAAGTGGTATAAGAGAAGTAGTCCGGACAAACTTTAAAAATAAAAATTATTAAAGGGCCATAACTCTGTCAAAAATCATTGAACCGGAAAATGCTGACAATATGCACAACTAGACTTGGTACTGATCATTCCTGTAAAGTTTAGATGAAATTGCACCAGTAGTTTATGAGGAGTAGTCCGGACAAGTTTTGTGACGGACGGACGGACAGACGGACAGACAGACGACGGAGAACTTAGTGATCCCTATATGTCGCCACTACTCCGTAGAGGCGACACAAAAATGATTTATACTAAACCTGGCTGAAGAATGTTTGAGTTGAATAATCCAAAGTTGACTACACTAAACAGTGATGGTAAATTCTTTGGCCAAGCAATCTTGATGTGTAATGTTAGGAGCAAATTTTGAAGGAAGTGGCACAATAACTTCACCTTGCAAAACCAAAAAAAAACAAAATAATAATTTATCTTAAACATGTCACAGTTAAAGTACATATATATATATATATAAAAACAGTAAAAATGTCATTACAGTCAAACTGTATGGAAAGTACTTGTGCACTGATGTAAAATACAACTTAAGCTCCATATCAGTTTCATGTATAAAATCAATGAGAACTTCATATTTACATCATAAAAATATGCATTCCTTAAACAAAGGTTTTATAAACATACCAAACATACCTTTGTACAAACAGGATCTGTGAATCCCCGACACATTACTGTTCCAACAAGCAGTAAAAGGTATACTCCAAAACTTAAAGCTGACCAAGGGAAATTAGAACACTCAACACACAAACTGCCAACACGATTGTAACCTGTTTGTCATATGATTCACTTAAATATTTGACTTAAAGCTACATGCCTCCAGATAAGCCAAACAATTTCAAGCAAAATCAGTGTCTTACTTTGCAGAATTAATCAGAAATTTTTCTTTGCATGACTAACACAGAAAGGGCTATTTGACTTATTTTTTGTAACTTTGTAAGTGCCGTTTACAACATTTGTGTAAATTACTTTTTTGTTCACTTCATAATATTTTACTTTAAAATACATTTTCAAAATTTTTATTTAAATTGGCATAAATCTGGTTGCATGCTGCTTTATGTGTATTCTTAGTAATTATTGAAAAGGAAGGTTTCTACAGCTTACAATATATGAATTACAAATCTATATAACTATTACCTTCTGCTTATTTTTAGAGTCCTCAAAAATCATGTTATGCTTAACAAATGATTACCTTTCAATTATTGAATTACTGTGTAATATCAGTGTTAATCAGGTTTAAAACAAACATGAACATTATCTGAAACAATATGAGCCGCGCCATGACAAAACCAACATAATGGGTTTGCGACCAGCATGTATCCAGACCAGCCTGCGCATCCACCCAGTCTGATCAGGATCCATGCTGTTCACTATCAGTTTCTCTACTAGTTATAGGGTTTGTTAGGAATAGCATGGATCCTGATCAGACTGTGCGGATGCGCAGGCTGGGCTGGTTCCATGCTGGTAGCAAACCCATCATGTTGGTTTTGTCATGGTGCGGCTCATATCACCAATGATAGTTTACCTGTCACACATTTTTCACATGTACTACCAGTGGTTCCCTCTCTACACTGGTTGTCTGCGAGACAATTCTGGGGATATATGCATGCAGTACAGTGGAAATGCTCTGAAAAACAGCTATTAAAAAGTTTAGTACTGTTTACAAAAAAAATATAATTATAAATAATGGGACTAACCTTTTACAGACAATTCTTTGGTAGTACATTATGAGGGTTAAACTCTCTATGGATAATATTTTCCTAAAATCAACAGAAAGTTTTACAATTTCCAGTTGTTTTTATGCTCCCTGAAGGGTGAGCATAAAGTTGCGCTTTGTCCGTCTGTTCGTCTGCTATTCTTGTCCGGGACATAACTTTGAAACAACAAGAGGTATCAACATGAAACTTTGTAGGAAGATAGATCTCATTGAGTATATGTGCAGTGCACAGGAACAGTAACTCTGCCTTGCCTAATTTTGGAATTATTATCCTTTGTTTATTTTTACACTTCAAACTGTGTCTGGGACATAACTCTAAAACAGTAGGAGATATCAACATGAAACTTTTTATACTTTTCTGTGTCTAAAACCTACTTGGGGAGCATCACCCGGTTCAACCTGCTCTTGTTTTATTAAATATTAAAGCAGCTGACCTCCAGAAGATAGCAGAAAAACTGCCGTCTTGCTAGTATTTCAAAACCCCCCTCAAAAACATTATATAGTTGAAAGAAATCGAAATAACACTTCAAAATGTTCATATTTTAACATTATTGCTACGAAAACAAACAGTTCGCATTTCCACCAACGGGAAATACCTTCTTTTGTTATACCATAGAATTCTTTTATCCGGGTTTTTTCTAGTATCACGTGAATGTACAGGACAATATCGCGACCTGTGCTCTGGAACACACGGAATCAGGGATTTTATCAAACATATAGGGATACAAATAACTGCTTTTTTTTATATTTGTAGTAATTCATGGCACTAAAAATTATAATTGATTAATTATTTCATATATATGATGACCAATTTACCGATTTAACCTTTAGCATGAAATGTGATAGGGGCCTACTATGAAGAAAATTGATAAACGATCCCGGGCATACCGGATACCGGGATTTTTCCGGATCACTGTTGTGACACATGACCGCGTTAAATGAATTATCTTCTCCTATTTATATTGGCTACTGCATCAGTAACATAGTAGATTATGGAAAAGAAAACCCGATATATTTACTCTTTTGTCAACATTCTTTCTTGAATTAAGGTGTGAGTAATGATGGATTTATACAATAAACCTAACTAGATCAGTATTTACCATTGACTTGAAATTTTTTTCATTTTTTTCATTTTACCATCTGAAGGTCAGTGGCTTTAAGAATAATTTAAAAACTGACCTTTTACTTATATATCTGTGTATCTACTTTATTGCAGTGATAAGCTTATTGGCTAATAAAACATGCTTATAAGAGGAAAATAGTTGCATTCCTGCCACTTCCGTACTAAATATTTTTGTACTACATGTACTTAATACTTTAAAACTTAATTCTCAAACCAAATTAAAGACAATTTACTTGCCAAAACTTTTCATTTTTATTTCAGATTTAAAAAAAAAAATTATACATAAAAAAGATTATAAATATATTCAGAATTTAATTTGAAATTGATATTTAATGTGCTTCTTTGCTAGAATGAGTTAAAAGCATTGAAATACTTTTCATATTTAGGTCATTTTGCAGTTTGCACTATAACAAGCGTTGTAGGCAGAACAGCAGGCTAGATTATTCTCGGTGCCTGAGAGTAAAACAAGAGCCTTCACAATGTAGAATTTTAGAAATTTTAGAAGTTCAAAAAGGGTCATAATTCATTTAAAATCCATGTAAGAATTATGGGCTTTGGATAATGATCTTCTATTACGCTCTCACTGAAATGTTTGAAGTTTCAACCATTCCTTTCAGTAGTCTTTGAGATACCAACTTACATGCAAAAACAAAGTGTGATAACGACGCCTGGATGAGTACAATAACTCTCCCTATTCTTCAAATAGTCAAGCTAAAAATGATTATTTTGAAAAAAATATAGATAGCAAATGATTGAAAATTTTGCAAAATAGTTTTTAGTATAACCTTTAAACTGTATCAAAATCTCAAAAAGATATATCCACTTTTTATCTAGTCTCATCACATCAAAAAAAACTCAGTGCAGTCCCTTTAATAATTATCATTATCCATTTATATACAACATAAAAGTACATTATATTCCATTACTTGGTAACAAAAATGAGTCATAAAAGTAACAAAACATAAAGGATACTGGTACAATAATTGAAATAAAGTTATTTATAGTACACAAAGCACAGTTGTTCAAGTAGCCATATACCTGATTCATTCCTGCTGTTGTCATGGTTAGCACCTGTAAAATTTCCACAGTGAGTACCAGCTTTTTGTAGTTGCTGATCTTTATGTCCTTGGACACTAACCAACAAGCACACTGTCAACATGATCTTACAATGCATTACTGCTATATCTGAAATTATTATTTATTTATCATATACTAGAAATGTTCCATTTAATTACTCTACAATATGTATTAAATGATCAAGATGGTTTAAACATATTTATTAAAGCTCGATTGGGAAACAAGTTCTTGCAACTTATATTAATCACTTTTGAGTCCGCTTCCTGGAACCAACCAACACTGGTGTCATACAAAAAAACCTGGTTGTGACCCGAGTAGGGCTCAAACCTATGATCTCAGGGTTGAGAGGCAGACACCTTAACCACTAGGCCACCGCTCCCCTCAATAATCAAGATGACCTACATGCACTACTGTAATTTTGGAAAAAAGACTAGTTCATGGAGTTTAACCCTGATAACAAAGAAAAAGAAACCCTGTAAATTTACCTTAAACCCTCCATAATATCCGACTTAAATCAACCCAAGAAACAAAATATTTAAGAGTCACTATAAGTCAACATCTTGGATCAAACATAAACAGCATTATCATATAAAATACATCAAAAGAAAATAACTCCCCTACATTCATTAGAAGAAATGTTAAAACCTCAAATAAAAAGATACTGGTCAGGGACCATCATTCGGACACTTTTTGAACATTTTTCCATACAAATTTAATAATTTTAAAGCTAGAGATCTGAAAATTTGACACAGTACAGCTAGGTTCTTCTCCTAACTAACAAACTAGTTTGTTTTTTTTCTGATTATGTTGACACTTACATCTGAGGCCCATCAATGTGGGTATCAAAATTACCTAAATGGTCCTTTTTACAGTACCATGTATTCGGACAGATATGTACATGACATTGATTCAATGCAATAAAAGTTGGGTGTTTGATTTTTTATTTTTAACATGATATACAACATTTCAGCAGCAAATGCTGAAGTTTTGGATATTCTATTGTTTACTCAGCAAATGAATTATAGCTAGTATAAGAAGTCAAGTATTGCAATCTTGATGTCTTAATTTTCAACATCAATGTTCTTGAAATAGACATTAAAATATAGTGACTTAATAATAGAAGAAACATGCTTTATTGTTGATATAAAGTGACCGATTGATAGACAACCATTGAACAAAACAAAAATATATACCAGACATTTTCTGGTTTTGGTGGTCCCCAACTAGTAAAGGAAAATTGCATATGTTATACCTCAGTTTAATTACTATTCTATAGTTTGGCATCCTTGGCAGAAATACTTAATTAATAGGATTGAGCAAATCATAAGATCAGCTGCTATTGTAGATATGTTTTTTTTATGACTAGGCTACTGGATATATCTGACCTTAACTGGCAAACCCTTTAGCAGCATCGAAACATCAGTGCTGTACCCTACATTTATAAAATTTTGTTGACCACCAACACCTTACTTAAAAAAGAAATCTGAACTAGATCTCATTAATACCTTACTGGAAAAAACAATACATACCATCAAAATTCTTTCTTTCCTAGGTAAGAAGAAATTTACTTCAGTGTTGACAGGTTTTTCAAAAAATGACCACCAAAATTCAACCTAACAATAACTAAACAGTATTAAATAGTGCGACATCCATAAGATATACACAGTGTTATGTAGATATTAAATCATAACAATTATTTGTGTTTACTGTAAGCATGCACTCAAATCTTAAATGCACGCGCCCTGCTAAACGTTGACGTCAAAGAGTGCGACTAAAAAAAGGATTGGAGCACCACACTAAATACCGTATTCCGGTACATACCGGGCAAGGCGCTTGAATCATAAAATGCTAAAATCTTGCCTTTTTACCCAACGGAATGAACTGAAATAGGTCTAATTCATCTTTTCACACCGATTTATGTATGATAATGAATGATAAATGTAAAAATCGGCAAAAAAAAACAACAATCGCAACATCTCGGCCCACTATTTAATAGATAATCGGCGAGATGTGCCGATTGCGTTATTTGGCATAATCGCAAGTTTTCGGCCTTTTCCGTCAGTCTTCGGATAAGAACCTCTGCTAAGATTTTATAATATTAATAATGACTTAAAACAGACCACCTAAATTAAGCGAATTAAGTAACCTTTACATTATCTATATACTTATTATCATGATTGTATAAACCGAAAGTACAAATTGTTTACCTGTTGATATTAAGTCGAATTCGTAGATCTACATATTAATTAAGTGGGCATTCTTAAATTGATATTTTTTTTTATTCAATTTAAGTAATCTAGTAGCGAATTATATCATCCAATTTTATAAACAAGCAAGAAAATAAAATAAAAAACAATAAAAAATCTAGATCTACTAATCTATATTTTAAAATAAAAGAAAAAGGGGGACCACTGCGTAGGAGAAAGGACGGACGTAGATCTACTTGAATCTCATGTGAACAAGATAAAAAAGAAAAGTGCAATTATAAAAAAAGTTATATGTCACCTTTGTGCCATCGTAGTAATTGAATTATTCTCAAAGATCGTTTTTTAGTATTTATATTTTGTTTGTTTGTTTGTTTGTTTTGTTTGGTTTTACGGTGTACCAACAAAATCCCAGTAAATACATAGAGGATATTGAATGAGTGTACAGTAAGTAAGTAAGTAAGTAAATATTTTATTATAGTGACATGTGTATGACAGTTTACAAATAACGAAATTAAATAATTTAACATAACACCCGGCCAATGGACCAATAAGTCACCTGAAACATATATACATTATAATAGTTCACATGAAATTATTATACTGTACACATCATCAATATTACAGGATAAATATTTCAAACGATTAAATAAGGATTTCTTTCTTTTACAATAAGCATTTAACAAGGTATTTAGCAACTTTTTGTGTAAATTTACAACAAGATATTTCATTTTCATATCATCGTTCATCTTCATTAAATCTGCATTCATAAATTGTTCACTAAAACTGTCTACTATGATGTTGTTGTAAAAGGGACATAAGATTAAAAAGTGCTTTTCAACTTCTATTTTATTATCATTTTATTTTTTTATTGTACAAAACAAACAAATTCTCTGCTCTATTGGGTTTCCCTGATATAACAGGAGAAAGCCACACCTTTATTGAGATAACATTGATCTTTCATTTTTAACTGTACATTTAACTGTACATATTTTTCTGTAATAAAATTGTCCTTAAGGGTAACGTAGGTTCGTAACTTCGGTTCTTTTTGTATGTCAGTTTTCCAAGTATCCTTATAATATTGAGTTATGCTAGTCTTAACATAATCTATGCTTATAACGGTTTTGTTCTCAAATGACTGACCAGTTCAATTATGTCATAACTGTTTTAACGTCACTGCACCAATTATTACTGCATTTATTGTAGTTCATGATGAAGACACGTTAAGTAATCCTATTATCATTCAATAAAATGAGCCTATTCCAATATCGTATTATTGATATCCAACGGCGATAGTTACTTGGTAGCCACCCATTGTCTCCAGGTAGTGCAAATTTTGGGGCGAAACGGTGAACACAGAGATAATAGCATATAGCACGGTATTGTATATTGTGTATTGATTGGTAATATATTTATCCCCATACAAAAGCACACTAGTCTAAGATTGGTATCACACATGATTCGAACAGTTTTGTAAATGATTTATATCCACAATCTTTATAGTTATGAATTTTAGAAATAATATTTCCCAATGCACGACCAGCACCTTTTGCCAAAGCTTCACAGTGATATGAAAAATCCCCTTTATCATTAAGAACAACACCAAGATACTTATATCGATCCACTGTTTCGATAATATTTTCACCTACATGGAAACTAAATGTAGTCTGCACAGCACGAGATTTTCTAAAATGCATGCACTTGCTTTTCTCTGTATTTATAAGCACACGCCACTTTTTACACCAGCAATGTAGTACATTTAGCATGGCTTGTAAATTTTCTTCGTTTCCGGCTATCAAACATATATCATCTGCGTATAAGAGAATAGATAGTTTTGTGTCATCGTCGATGCTGACCCCAATGTCAAGGTCGTTTATTTCTTTTACCAGGTCATTAGCAAATATCGCGAAAATTGTTGGCGATAAATTGTCTCCCTGCTTGAGGCCATTGTCACATGAGAACCATTCTGTTAGTTTATTGTTAATACGGACACATGACGTAGATTGAGCATAAATACTTTTTATTGAGTTGTACATTTTACCATCTATGTGATTGAGGAGTAACTTATAGAGCATCATATCTCTATCAATAAAGTCAAAGCACTTTCGCAAGTCAATAAATGCTGTAAATATTTTGTCATTATTACGAACGATGCTATTCAGTGTGAAGACATGATCTTCACATGATCGATTTCTTCTAAATCCATTTTGCTCATCCGCTAAAATGTCATTTTGTTCTAAAAATTTCGTTAAGCGTTTATTCATAAATGAGCTGTACAGCTTACTGACACATGACAACAGGCTAATACCTCTGTAATTCATTGGTAAACGTTTATCTGACGAACTGTCCTTTAAAATTGGACAAATAATAGCTTTTCGCCAGCTAGATGGTATTATGCTGGTATCAAACACTAATTGAAAGAGTTGTTGTAAAACTCCTATAACAGGGGGGAATTTAAGTACACTATAGGGAATTTCGTCATATCCGGTGGCAGATTTTGATTTCGCATGCATAATGATGCTAGTTATTTCATCAATAGTAATATTACTATTCAAAACTTCGCTTTGCTCATATAATGGATCATTCAAATTGTTTTCAATAAGAAGTTTGTGTGTTTTTGCTTGAATGTAATGGTTATCATCAAATGCATCCTGGTCCTGGTTTGAACATGCGTATAAATTCTGAAAGTCTATCCTCCATTTCTCAAATACTATATCCTCATTATTTATCGGGACGCCATTACTATCAATTATTTCAATAGGTATAGCAGTGTCTTTTCTAGGGCCTAAACGTTTTATTTTTTCCCAGAAATCTTTGGGATTGCTTGAGCACATATCTTCAATTTCAGTAGCCATAGTTCTCCTGTATTCGCGTTCACTTCGTCGCAGCACTTTATCAAACTCATTTCTTGATTCAATGTACTCGCGTCGTAATACCGTTTTGATGTGTCGATTCCCTGTGCATTTTAGGAAAATCCGTTCCTTATTGTGCATAATATTCCAAAGTTCTGTTAATGTTTGATTCCAATAAGGTTTTTTGGTGCGAAGTCTTTTATTTGTACATTTTGATGCACTATATTTCGGTATTTGTGATTTCATTTCCGTAATGATAACGTCACATAGATTTTCGTATATCAAGTCAATATCTTGTTGGTTTTCTCGACAGCGTTCAATTTGTGAAATAATTTCTAGTAAAGCTAATCTAGATAACTCGTTATTCATAAAGTCTTCGGGTATTTTGTGTAGCTTAAATCGTGCACTATTAATTTCCGGATATTTTGACTGTTCATGTGTGGGTTGATAGACAGACAACCGTAATTCGGTCAATAGAACGCAATGATCCGGTAAACGTGATCTCACTCCTAATAATCCGTGAAGACTGTATTTTTCAACAATAGAATTGACAGTTACTGTCTGGAAATTTAAACAATTATGAAAAACATCGTGCGGTACACACATATAGTCCACTACTGCTTTACCTTTACGGGATATAGAGGTATAACAAGAAAAGCATTGATGCAAAGCATCAAAGGGCGTCCAAGCAAGAAATGCAGCAAGTGAAGATGAACTAGTACACATATGATGACAAGACATTCTTATAAACTACCAGAAATGTATACCACTTATGAATGAGCGGACGAAAGACATTGTTCATTATGAACTTTGATTGGCATGCTAGAGATTAGAATATTACTTGTTATTTCTTTATGATCGTGGTTATTAATAGCAACGGATATACATGTATGCAATCATTTATAATCCATATGTGTAACGCATGATCAACACGTACCACACATTTGTCCCTTATTATGTACATTGTTATCGCTTTTAGCGAAGACCCCCTTAAGGTATCTGTTCACACTTTAAGTTAGTAAAAATATGACACTGGTTATATTACCATGTTGATCATGTTGAGCATAATTGTTTATTATACAATAATTGTAATATCTATTAATTTTAATTTAAAAAAAAATACAAATTTTATGAATATTGTTTTCTTTTATTCTTTTTGTGTTTTATGTGCCATTTTAATACTGAGTTTTTACTACTCTTTTTTATTAAAATTGTAAAATAAATTTTAAGAATTCAATTGTCATATTGACCGACGATTATAAGTCAAAGCTTAACTGGAAAAAAGTCAGTAAATTATGGTTTATCTTTCAATATATAATATTGTTTATTCTTAAACCATGTACATGTACATTGTATTTTTCTTTATCATTTTTTAAATTATCGATCAATTGAATAATTCATAAAATCTAATTTGTAACTTTGAATAATTCCTCGGCATCTAAACACGGATAACAAATTGAATAAAAAAATTGAATAATTAAATAAAATGTTTCAAAGTTGATAATGTCATTTTAATACCATAAAAAATGTACCTTTTCTCAATTATTGTACATATCACGGATTTATATTACATATAAATCCGTGTACATATTTATTGTTTTTATCTCATATAGATAAAATGAAACATGCTATTGTTGTTTTTTTCTAATTGTAACGATATCAAACATCTACTCCAAAACCGGGAGAGACCGGACAATATAACGTGTGGTACTATTCGCCGGTCACTAGTAAATCCTGGTCAAAATAGACCGGGAGAGACCGGCATTTACCGATAGGAGTGATAAAAAGATATATCTATAAATAGGTTTTTGGAATATTTAGGTCATCAACTGATCATTCTAGGATACATGTACAACAATAACATACCATGACATGATAACCGACTGT